GACTGAGGGTAGAAGCAAGAATTAGCTCCAAATAGGCACAAGGGACCTTTTAGGAGTGATTGATATGTTCTAACACTGGATTGTGATGATATTTGCACAACGGTAAGAGTTCTCTAGTTTTAGTTCTTAAATTTACATTTTTGATACATTTGGAACTGACTTTTGTGTATGGTGTGAGGTGATGGTCCAACTATGGTTTTGTTTTTTTTTGCTTGTAGATATCCTGTTTTCAGGCTTCCCAGGTGGTGCTAGTGGTAAGGAACCAGCCTGCCAGTGCAGGAGACACAAGAGACACAGGTTCGATCCCTGGGTTGGGAAAATCCTCTCGAATGGGGCATGGAAACCCCCTCCAGGATTCTTGCCTGGAGGATCCCATGGACAGAGGAGCCTGGCAGGCTACGGTCCATAGCATTGCAAAGAGTAGGGCATGACTGAAGTGATTTAGCATACATGCACACATATCCTGTTTTCACAAAAATACACTGTTGAGAAGACCTAGACTTGTCTCCCACTGAATGGACCTGGTACTCTTGTCAAAAATCAATTGACCATAGATACGAGAATTTATTTCTGGGCTCTCAACTTTATTCCACTGTTCTATATGTCTATCTTTATGCCAGTGTCACACTGTATTGACTAGCATAGCTTTGTACTTTAGGAAATTAGGAAACTGAGTTCTTCAAGATTGTTTTGGCTCTTGAGGGTCTTTTGAAATTCCATATAAATTTTAGGATGGTCTTTTCCATTCCTGAAAAAAAGAGCAAGAAAAGTCATTGGAATTTTGAAAGGAATTGCATTGAATCTGTATATCAGCTTTCCATCTGTGAACATGGGCTATTTTTCCATTTATCTAGGTTTTCTTTAATTTCTTTCAGCAACTATTTTGTAATTCTAACCTGGGTAAGATAGTTCTTTGAGACACTAGTCCACCATCTTATCTTCTCAGTCTGCTGGTTTTCTAAATAAAGTTACAATTCCTCCCCCCAATACTTCTTCTCTTGATTTACTGGCCTGTGGTGTGGTAGTACAGCCTTGAACCTGGTAACATTTTCTTGCCTAATTGCTCTAGCTAGAACTTCTAGTACAATGTTGAAAAGAAGCGGCAAAAATCAATATCTTTTGATATTTTCCTGATGTTCAGTCACTAAGTCATGTCCAAATATTTGTGACCCCCATGAACTGCAGGACTCCAGGATTCCCTGTCCTTCGCTGTCTCCTGGAGTTTGCTCAAACTCATGTCCATTGAATCAGTGATGCCATCCAACCATTTCGTCCTCTGTCGTCCCCTTCTCCTGCCCTCAATCTTTCACAGCATCAAGGTCTTTTAAAATGAATCAGCTCTTCGCATCAGGTGGCCAAAGTATTGGAGCTTCAGCTTCAGCATCAGGCCTTTCTTTTCTTTTTTTTTTTTTTTTTACATGTATTCCCCATCCCGGTCCCCCCTCAGCATCAGGCCTTTCAATGAATATTCAGGGTTGATTTCTTTTAGGATTGACTGGGTTTATCTCCTTGTGGTCCAAGGGACTCTCAAGAGTCTTCTCCAGCACCACAGTTTGAAAGCATCAGTTCTTCAAGGAAAATCTTTCAGTCTTTCATATTAGTTTTTTTTACATGGCCATTATCATGTTGAAGAATTTCCCTCTATTTCTATTTGTTGAGGGTTTTTATCTTGAAAGAATATTGGATTTTGTCAAATAAATTTTCTGCATCAGTTGAGATGTTGATGGTCATTTCCCCCCTCATTCTATTAATGACATATATAGAATTGATTAATTTTATATGTGAAACCAACCTTCCATTCTTGGGATAAATCCCAACTGGTAATGATTAAATCAATCCTTTTATATTCATAAGGGAATGTTGGTTTGTAGTTTTCTTGTAGTGTCATTTGCTTTGCTCTTAGGGTAATAGTAAAGGAGATTTGAGCAACACAGTTACAAGTTTGACTTAAAAGATATATACTGTGAACCTGCATGTGTATATATGTGTGTTTGTGTGTATTTGTTTGTGAAGAGAGAGAGAATATTTTGTATCCACAACTAAGCAACACTAATCTTTTAATTACTCAAAGAACATAGAGATTTCTATAAATCCCCCAAAGTCTCTTACCACAATGTATAAATAGCTGCTGCTGCAGCTAAGTTGCTTCAGTCATGTCCGACTCTGCGCGACCCCATAGACAGCAGCCCACCAGGCTCCTCTGTCCCTGGAATTCTCCAGGCAAGAATACTGGAGTGGGTTGCCATTTCCTTCTCCAGTATTAAAAGCAAATGGCTTTTAAGAAAATCACTTGAATTTCTAAAACCATCTTTCCAGATAATTCAGTTCAAAGTAGAAATAAAAATCTGTTCATTAAATAATAACAATGACAGCCCTACTTTGTATACTAGCAAAACCCTTCTCTGAGGAAAATTTACATTACTAAGTAGCTTTTATTAGAAAGCAAAAAAGAAAAGAAATGAATAAAATGAATTCATTGAGTTAAGGATCTTTGTTTGCAAACAACAGAAATTACCTTCGACAAAATAGAAAAAAATTTGGTTCAATTCGGCACTGAAAGAAACAGCTAGAAAAACACAGGTCTATAAAGGGCAGAAATCGCAGGTGGCTCTGGGGTTGCTTTCTGAACCAGAAAACAGAAAGCAGTGAATCAGTACAGGATGAATCAATTACTAGATGAATCAGCCACAGCTGTTTCAAATCTTTTGATTTTGCTTAAGATTTAGTTGCCATGGAGAGCGCATAAAATTAGCCTAGGTCAGGTTTCTGTCTATTTCTTAATCTAGAAAAGTTCAGAGTGTCTTCATTGATGGTTTCACCAAGCAGTACCTAATGGGGACATTACTTCCTCAAGAAAAATTGGAATGGTGCTATCAGAGGAAGGGGCAATGAATACGGTATGGCAAAACAACAAATTGTCCATTATGCACATTTGATGCTAGATTTTTGTTTTTTTTGTTTTTTTTTTTCCTTTTTTTAAAAAATTTTTTATTTTTTATTTTTTTCATTTATTTTTATTAGTTGGAGGCTAATTACTTTACATCATTGCAGTGGTTTTTGTCATACATTGAAATGAATTAGCCATGGATTTACATGTATTCCCCATCCCGGTCCCCCCTCCCACCTCCCTCTCCACCAGAGATCCCCAGATCCCTCTGGGTCTTCCCAGTGTACCAGGCCCGAGCACTTGTCTCATGCACCCAACCTGGGCTGGTGATCTGTTTCACCCTAGATAATATACGTGTTTCGATGCTGTTCTCTTGAAACATCCCACCCTCGCCTTCTCCCAGAGTCCACAAGTCTGTTCTATACATCGGAGTCTCTTTTTCTGTTTTGCATATAGGGTTATCGTTACCATCTTTCTAAATTCCATATATATGTGTTAGTATACTGTAATGGTCTTTATCTTTCTGGCTTACTTCGCTCTGTATAATGGGCTCCAGTTTCATCCATCTCATTAGAACTGATTCAAATGAATTCTTTTTAATGGCTGAGTAATATTCCATGGTGTATATGTACCACAGCTTCCTCATCCATTCGTCTGCTGATGGGCATCTAGGTTGCTTCCATGTCCTGGCTATTATAAACAGTGCTGCGATGAACATTGGGGTGCACGTGTCTCTTTCAGATCTGGTTTCCTCGGTGTGTATGCCCAGAAGTGGGATTGCTGGGTCATATGGCAGTTCTATTTACAGCTTTTTAAGAAATCTCCACACTGTTTTCCATAGTGGCTGTACTAATTTGCATTCCCACCAACAGTGTAAGAGGGTTCCCTTTTCTCCACACCCTCTCCAGCATTTATTGCTTGTAGACTTTTGGATAGCAGCCATCCTGACTGGTGTGTAATGGTACCTCATTGTGGTTTTGATTTGCATTTCTCTGATAATGAGTGATGTTGAGCATCTTTTCATGTGTTTGTTAGCCTGATGCTAGATTTTTGCTAGGATGTTCACTACAGCGTTTATTTATAGTATCATAAAGTTACTTATCTTTATGGTAAAAAGCATTTATCTCACCGTAGTTATGAGATCTCAATATTAAATGAACTGATAAATACAAAGTATTTAAGATCATCTATGATACAGCCATTATAACTATGTTTTGAACAAATACATAAAGAATAGAAAAAACTTACTAAAGATAAGTAGAATAAAATCTGTTTAGAGTCTATGGATTAAATTTAGTTAAAGCATTTTATTTATGCATGTAACCAACTCCTGAGAAAAATATGAAATATGTGTGTGCGTATCCATAAACTAACATCTGAACCTGTAAAGGTCACCTTATTTGGGAAAAGGGGCTTTTTAGATGTAAACATAATTAAATGAATGATCTTGAGATCATCTTAGATTGTCCTCATGACTTAGATCTAATGACCAAGGTCCTTAAAAGAGACAGAAGACAAGACAGACACAAAGAAGACATGGCCATGTGAAGACAGTTTAGAGTAGTGTCACCACAAGCGTAAGAACGACTGGAGTCGAGGCTTTGTGAAGATGGCGGCTCCGGAAGTGTTGGAGTCAGACCTGCCAAATGCTGTGGCACTTTTGTAAAACCTCCAGGAGCAGGTGATGGCTGTCACGGCACAAGTGCAAACTCTGACCAAAAAAGTTCAAGCTAAAGCTTATCCTACAGAGAAGGGTCTCAGCCTTTTGGAAGTAAAAGATCAGCTGCTGCTCATGTATCTTATGGATTTGAGCCATCTCATCCTGGACAAAGCCTCAGGAGGTTCTCTTCAGGGACATCTGCAGTTTTGAGACTGGTGGAGATTCGCACGGTTTTGGAAAAGCTTCGTCCTTTGGACCAAAAACTGAAGTATTAGATTGACAAACTGGTCAAGACTGCAGTGACAGCTTCAGTGAGAATGACCCACTCCGTTTTAAGCCTCATCCCAGCAATATGATGAGCAAGTTGAGCTCTGAGGATGAGGAGGAAGATGAAACAGAGGAAGGCCAGTCTGGGGCTTCAGGGAAGAATTCTGGAAAAGGAACAGCTAAGAAATGTGTCCCACCACGCTTGGTCCAGTGCATTATGATGAAACAGAAGCTGAGCAGGAGAAGAAGCGCCTAGAACGAGCCAAGAGACGGGCGTTGAGCAGCTCTGTCATTCGTGAGCTAACGGAGCAGTATTCAGATGCTCCAGAGGAAATCCGAGATGATCGGCATCCTCATGTTACTCGCCAGAGTCAGGAGGATCAACACAGGATTAACTATGAGGAGAGCATGAGGGTGTGTTTAAGTGTCAGCAAGCGGGAGAAAGGACGGCGAAAACGAGCAAATGTCATGAGCTCGCAGCTTCATTCCCTCACGCACTTCAGTGACATCAGTGCTCTGACAGGAGGAACCCCTCATCTTGACGAGGATCAAAATCCTACTAAGAAGCGGAAGAAGATCCCTAAGAAAGGTCGGAAGAAGAAAGGTTTTTGGAGGCTGCGGTGATTATGGTTGTACATACTTAATTTATTTTTGTCATCCGGGATACTTCTAATTTCATTGTATGTAGGTTTTTTCTTTGGAATTAATTAATCATTTACTCCGGACATGTGGAAATATCTTTATTAATAAAGTTGATTTTACTTAAAAAAAAAAAAAGAATGACTGGAGTCTCCAGAAGCTGGAAGAAGCACGAAACTGTTCTCTTCACTCTTGAAAGGAGTGCAGCTCTGCTATAGACAGAAAGAAAAAATATACAACCTAAATATTGGAAGTTATGTTTTACTCTGGGATCTTAGTCAGGACGATAGCCCAGGAATGTAGCCTTTCAAATAGCTCTGAGGAATTGTTCCTAAGAGGGAAGGGAGGAATAGGATATTTAGGAGTTTTTACTTAAAAAGAATTGTATTTGGATGTCAAAATATTACTGCTAATCACACAAAAAAAATCTTAACGGTTTTGGTGCTTTTTATGCAAGAGAAGATGCAGAAGTCTGAGCATATTGAAATTATGCTTTTGATATGCATCTTCAGATGCATATCTTGTTAGTTAACTATCAAGGGCAAGTATCCTGGTTTTTTCTCCATCCTGGATTCCCCTCAGGGTGTCTGCAGTGGCTGATGACTGGATGACTGACGGCTTGATACTGTACAACATTCTCTGTTTACTAAAATGTCATGCAATATTTTTTGTCCACAACACCTCGTCTTGGTCATAAATTCAAGCAAGGATTAGGGAGAGTTTAATGACCAATTTGTCCCACAGTGCTAGAAAGACTCACTCTTAGATCAGGAGAGGATTCTGTTCCTAATCCACTTAATGTGTTAATTTTTGGATTAGACCCTGTTAATAATCTAAAATTCTCTGGATTACTTGTTTCTTCTAGTCTACTGTGATCCAGGAAATGTTTCCCTTTATTGCTTCTTCCCATGGCTAAAGTTGCATAATAATATTATAATTATTCTATGTAGAGTTATATATCTGATCAATTGTCTAAAGATATTTGGACATCATCAATCTTGTCGGAGGCTTAGTTACATACTGGGTAATGCAAGAGACAGCAATCTTAGAAAATAGACAAGATATAAGTAATAAAACTAGCAATATTAATAAAGTCATCTATAACACAGAGAGACACAAGGCATAAATAATTGGAAAACAGTGAGGGAACAAATTAAAACAAGGGTTAGTTTAAATATTTGTAATACAGTTGCAATAAGCCATCAATTCCACATGGGAACCAACTGGAGAAACCAAATTCTGGAGGGATCAGGTATTGAAAAAAAGAGAAGTGTTTCATCTTTGTTAACAAATGTATGTTTTATCAACTGATTGTAAGTCATGGTTAGCATAGGAGGAAATGTTTTTTGGAAAACAAACATTTATTGTTGTTGTTCAGTCACTTGGTCATGTCCAACTCTTTGCAGCCCCATGGACTGCAGCACGCCAGGCTTCCCTGCCCTCACCATCTCCCAGAGTTTGCTCAAACTCATGTCCGTTGAGTTAGTGATGCCATCCAACCGTCTCATCCTCTGTCATCCCCTTCTCCTGCATTTAATATCAGGGTCTTTTAAACAAACCTTAAATATCAGTATATTTCAGAAACAAGTCATAAAATTATAAATCGTCTTTATCAGTTCATTTAGTCCCATTTAGTTAATTTCTGTTGATCAGGGAAGTCATCAGACTTTCCGTTAGAGTTTTGTAACTTCTTACCCAGCTCAGTGCTGTGCCTAGTTGCTCAGTCATGTCTGACTCTTTGTGGCCCCATAGACTGCAGCCCACCAAGCACCTCTGTCCATGGGGATTCTCTGGGCAAGAATACTGGAGTGGGTTGCCATTTCCTTCTCCAGGGGATCTTCCTGACCCAGGGATCAAACCGGGGTCTCCTGCATTGCAGGCAGATTCTTTACCAGCTAAGCTACGAGGGAAGCCCACCCAGTTCAGTGGTATGATCTAAAAGTCAGAAACTTGTATTTGTCAAAAAGTCCTTTTTATGAATCTTCTTGAAGGTCTTCATTTTATGAAAGCATCAGAGTAAAACAATGACTGGTTGTAAATGACAAAAGACCTAAAATGGCTCAGATAAAGATGTGATTACAAAGCAACTGACAAGAAACTTGGTTATTTCTGTGACATAACTTTTTAAGATAATAACTAGAATCATGAATATGTGTAATTATTATTACACTAGGACATAACAGATTTTTTAGGAACTCCATGTAAATTTTGGAATATTTACCCACACAGTATAACCTAAGATGGTTTTATCACCGCTTCTTTGATAAAGTTTCCCATGTACTTTAACATACCAAATAAACCTAATTAGTTTAAAATCTCTCTTCAGGGTGTTTCAGAGCCCTTTGGAGCATCCCAAAGTTAGCTAGAGAACTTTATTAATAAAGAACTAAATTTAAAATTTTAAAAATTTGGCTTGAAATTTTTTAGCAATATCAAAGATTTTAAAACACTCGGTCAAGGGAATTCCCTCGTGGTCCAGTGGCTGGGACTCGGTGCTTTCACTGTCCAGGGCTCGGGTTCAGTCCCTGGCCAGGGAACTGAGATCCACAAGCCACATGGTGCAGCCAAAACAAGCAAACAGAAAAACATTTGTCAAAAAAGATCATAGGTCTCTGTGAAGCAATACCTGTTCATTTAACCAAAGTGGCAATAAAATACAGGCAAATACAGGTCATTTAGAAGGCAAAGAAGCTCATAATCTATTATCAAAAGTAGCACAATTTTCCAAGAAAACATTGTTCTCTTAATAGAGAAAACCAAACTTCTGTCCTGCACCAGCTCACCCTCAATAACAAAATTTATATACTTAATTAAATTAAATTCAGTTCCAGCCTGACCATGCACAAAACTCTTTTCTCAGGGCTCCCTTTCTGCAAAGTTTCCACAACTTTCCATATCTATATTAGTTTTATCTTTTGTATTTTTCAGCTTTAGGACAAAATCACTTTTCCCCCATGACAAAGTGCACTTACATTGCTCATATCTTCTTTTGTTGAAAATACACATCCTACTTTTTGTTTCATACTGAAATATTTCCTTTATTATTACAGTAGTTTTCATGACATATACTACAATTCTAACTCTTAAAAAACCTCCCTATCTAATGAAAACTGAGAAGCAGGTAATTGTGGACTGCTTGCCAAACTAGCATTTCTTGATAGGAAAACTTAGAAATATTCCTTAACCTCTAGAAATATTCACCTTGTCAGAGCATAACTTCTTTCCTCAATGTGGTATGTCATATGTCTAGTAAACCCAAACATCTCTAGTTTTCCTCTCATGAGAAGAAAGTAGGTAAACTTAGACCTGTTTAGTAATTGAAGGTCCAATATTTTATCCTAATGGAAATTATCTGGATATTCAGTGAATTCTCATTTAACTTAATATGGCAAATATATTTAATATATTTATATTAATATATTTAACTTAATATGGCAAAACTTTGTAATTTTAACTTACAAAAAAACCTGGAGAAAGCATTTTTGATAGATATTCTTACCCCCAAACATAATTATTTCTAAAGAGTTCACCTGAAAACTATTTCATTTATCTCTATTTTGTAACTTATGAAAATATCATTGTAACAAGTTATTTATTTATTTATTTTTGTTAACAAACTGCAACAGAAATCACATGAACTTCCTGACCTTCCATAAACCTAGGTAAAATAAAAGACATGTCTCTATTGATTAAGCCAACAAGCTTAAGCCAGATTTAATACTGATAATTAACACTCAATATTTCCTAGATCATGAGAACCTGAAATTCATTCTGGCCAGTTTTCTTTATATTTAGAAGCATTTAATTTCTAAGTGATTACTTTTAAATCAGTTAAAAAGAGCCTTTTTATCATTTAGTTTTCATAATACTATTCATATCATATGTATTATGTATACACAGACATATAAACAGACATAACTGGAGATCTCATAACGTCACTTTAAAACTTAGTTTTGAATCTAGTATTACAATATAAACCTATTGGTTTATAAATAACAGAATAAGTGAAATTTATTTGCTCAGATGGCTAAAGTTTTACTATCTGTGGAAAAGACTTTTAAAATTTGTGTTGGTCTTGATAAATCCTTAAAGAGGCAATGAATTAGCTTTTGGAACAGAGAGTTTTTCCAGTGGCTTGAGTTTTAAATGGCACTTTTTTCCCCTCGGTTCCAGGTTTACCTGGTTGAACCAACAAGGCTCAGGCTCAGGTCAGTCTATGGGCTGTACTTAATTTCTGATTTGCAGAGATTTGCAAGACAAAGATGGCTCCTTTTAATTTCATAAAGAACTGGTCTGCTGCCTAAATAATTTTAAAAGATTGGTTTGCCTAACTATATCTTCTTTAATTTGCTTTATTTATAAAGTAAGAAGATTTCCAGCTAAACTAAAAATCAAGAGTTCCATGTTCTACCGCATACATTGTTGGTGGGAATGTAAATTGGTGCATCCAGTATGGAAAACAGTATAGAGGTTCTTCAAAAAACTAAAAATAGAACTACCATATTATCTAGCAATCTCTTTCCTGGTTATATATCCCAACAAAACTAAAATTCAAAAAGATGTATGTACCCCTATGTTTATAGCAGCACTATTCACAATAGCCAAGACATGGAAACAACTTAAATGCTCATCAACAGATGAATGGATAATGAAGATGTGGTACATATATATAAGGGAATACTACTCAGCCATAAAAAGGAATGCCATTTGTAGCAACATGGTTGGACCTAGAGATCTTCATACTAAGTGACTTAAGTCAGAAAGAGAAAGACAAATGCCATATGATATCACTTGTATGTGGAATCTAACATATGACACAAATGAACTTATTTATGAAACAGAAACAAACTCAAATATAGAGAACAGACTTGTGCTTGCTGAGGGGTGAGGTGGGAAGGGAAGAAGTGGGAGTTCAGGATTAGCAGCTCCAAACTATTATACACAGGATGCATAAACAACAGAGTGCAATAGTACAGCACAGGAAA